GCTTCTGTAACAGACATTTAGTTAGCCATAAGTGTGGCTAGATTACTTAGCTAACATGACGGTGAAAAGAAGACCTGGCTCATCAACAACTTCACAAAAATAATATTAACGCTAGCTGACGAGCTAAAAATATATATCATTCGCAAACCAACACGTCAAATAAGAACTGTGTTAACCACCAAACTGGGCGGTGGTGGCTGAGAGCAGACTGTGTCACTCTGACAACTGGCTAACGCCCAATGCTAGTAACGTTAAGCTAAGCTAGTTTATAGCTAGCCCTGCCGTTTGTTGCTCTGAGAATGACTGAAGTCGCTCCAGCCACGCTAACGTCGTATTTACTAAACATCGGAGGGTGTGAAAATCAGTGAATGCTGTTTAAAAATCCTTACTTTAAAGTCGTTTCCACTGAGGTCTACCCCCCGTATAAAGGGAAGAACTCCGGTGGCAGCCATTTCTAACTATTTGATGTCTGCTGCTCTATTTTGGTCAAAAGAGGGTTGTGGCTGAAAAGACTGCCGTTTCTTTTTCTTATTCTTTTTCCGTGTCGCAAACCAACGCGATGAGTGGCATGTCGCCACCTAACGTACAACCACTGAGTAACAGCTGTCCCAAGCATGGATGAGTGGAGTACCAGGAAGGGCATCCAGGGGAAAATCTACTCCAAATCTAATACGCGGATCATTAAATGATTAAATCCCCAAAATTGTGAATTTGCTGCAAAAACAGTAAAAAAAAAAGTCAAACACAACCCCAATAAATACATAAGAAGGTCAACAATTAAAAAGTAAAAATCTAAAAACAATACATATATATATATATATATAATATATATATATATATATATATATATATAATATATATATATATATATATATATATATATATGTATATATGGGTGTTTTTATATATATATATATATATATAAAACACCCAGCACGCCCCTGCGGGCGGTTTATCCTTCAAGCTCGGGTCCTCTACCAGAGGCCTGGGAGCTTGAGGGTCCTGCGCAGTATCTTAGCTGTTCCCAGGACTGCACTCTTCTGGACAGAGATCTCCGATGTTATTCCCGGGATCTGCTGGAGCCACTCGCCTAGCTGCACCTAGTGCTCCGATTACCACGGGGACCACCGTTACCTTCACCCTCCACATCCTCTCGAGCTCTTCTCTGAGCCCTTGGTATTTCTCCAGCTTCTCGTGTTCCTTCTTCCTGATATTGCTGTCATTCGGAACCGCTACATCGATCACTACGGCCGTCTTCTTCTGTTTGTCTACCACCACTATGTCCGGTTGGTTAGCCACCACCATTTTGTCCGTCTGTATCTGGAAGTCCCACAGGATCTTAGCTCGGTCATTCTCCACCACCCTTGGGGGCATCTCCCATTTTGACCTCGGGACTTCCAGATTATACTCGGCACAGATGTTCCTGTACACTATGCCGGCCACTTGGTTATGGCGTTCCATGTATGCCTTGCCTGCTAGCATCTTGCACCCTGCTGTTATGTGCTGGATTGTCTCTGGGGCATCTTTACACAGCCTGCACCTGGGGTCTTGCCTGGTGTGATAGACCCCAGCCTCTATGGATCTTGTGCTCAGAGCTTGTTCTTGTGCTGCCATGATTAGTGCCTCTGTGCTGTCTTTCAGTCCAGCTTTGTCCAGCCACTGGTAGGATTTCTGGATATCAGCCACCTCCTCTATCTGCCGGTGGTACATACCGTGCAGGGGCCTGTCCTTCCATGATGGTTCCTCGTCTCCCTCCTCTTTCTTGGGTTTCTGCTGCCTGAGGTATTCACTGAGCACTCGGTCAGTTGGGGCCATCTTCCTAATGTATTCTTGGATGTTCGTTGTCTCATCCTGGACTGTGGTGCTGACACTCACCAGTCCCCGGCCCCCTTCCTTCCGCTTAGCGTACAGCCTCAGGGTGCTGGATTTGGGGTGAAACCCTCCATGCATGGTAAGGAGCTTTCTTGTCTTTATGTCAGTGGCTTCTATCTCCTCCTTTGGCCAGCCTATTACCCCAGCAGGGTACCTGATCACGGGCAGGGCGTACGTGTTGATGGCCCGGATCTTGTTCTTACCATTCAGCTGACTCCTCAGGACTTGCCTGACCCTCTGCAGGTACTTGGTGGTTGCAGCTTTTCTAGCGGCCTCTTCATGGTTCCCATTCGCCTGTGGGATCCCCAAGTACTTGTAACTGTCCTCTATGTCTGCAATGTTGCCTTCTGGTAGTTCAATCCCCTCAGTTCTGACTACCTTCCCTCTCTTTGTTACCATCCGACTACACTTCTCCAGTCCGAACGACATTCCAATGTCATTGCTGTATAGCCTGGTAGTGTGGATCAGTGAATCGATGTCTCGTTCACTCTTGGCATACAGCTTGATGTCATCCATGTACAGGAGGTGGCTGACAACTGCTCCGTTCTGTAGTCGGTATCCGTAGCCAGTCTTGTTAATGATCTCACTGAGGGGGTTCAGGCCTATGCAGAACAGCAGTGGGGACAGAGCATCTCCTTGGTAGATCCCGCACTTGATGGTGACTTGTGCTATGGGCTTGGAGTTGGCCTCTAGTGTTGTACGCCACATCCCCATTGAGTTCCTGATGAAGGCTCTTAGGGTCCCATTGATCTTGTACAATTCTAGGCATTCCAGTATCCAGCTGTGGGGCATTGAGTCATAGGCCTTCTTGTAATCAATCCAGGCAGTGCACAGGTTGGTCAGTCTGGTCTTGCAGTCTCGGCTGATTGTTCTGTCTACCAGTAGCTGGTGTTTTGCGCCTCTGGTATTCTTGCCAATTCCTTTCTGTGTCCCGCTCATGTATTGACCCATGTGCCTGTTCATCTTAGCCGATATGATGCCTGACAGGAGCTTCCATGTAGTACTGAGGCAGGTTATTGGTCGGTAGTTGGAGGGGACCGGTCCCTTCTTGGGGTCCTTGGGGATCAGGACCGTCCGGCCTTCAGTTAGCCATTCCGGGTGTCTCTCGTTAACTAGCAGCTGGTTCATTTGTGCTGCCAGACGCTCGTGGAGTGCAGTCAGCTTCTTCAGCCAGTAGGCGTGAACCATGTCGGGCCCTGGTGCTGTCCAACTCTTCATACTGGAGACCCTTTCTTGGATATCTGCCACTGTGATGGTTACTGGACCCTGTTCAGGGAGGTCGCTGTGGTCAGCCCTCAGATCCTCTAGCCACTGAGCATTGCCGTTATGGGTTGCATCCTTCTCCATATGCTCTTCCAGTATTGCTCCGTCTCCAGCCTTGGTGGTGCTGTTCTCTTATTGTTCCCTTGCCACTGAGAGTACACCTTTGCTGGTTCTGTGGAGAACAGCTGGTTTATTCTCCTGCCTTCTATCTCTCTGGTGTACCTCCTCAAGCGGCTGGCCAAGGCTGTGAGTCTTTGCTTGGCAGTTTCCAAGGCCTCAGGTATGGACAGCTTGCTATATATATATATATAATATATATATATATATAATATATATATATATATATATATATATATATATAATATATATATATAGCAAGGTACCGTCTCTACACACTGCTCCCCGGGCGCCTGCTTAGTGGGCTGCCCACTGCTTCACTGAGTGAATGGGTCAAATGCAGAGAAAAACAAGTAATTTCCCCATGGGGATCAATAAAGTATCCATTATTATTATATATATATATATATATATATATATCCTCTCGAGCTCTTCTCTGTGGAGGGTGAAGGTAACGGTGGTAATCGGAGCACTAGGTGCGGTGACTCCCAAGCTAGGCGGGTGGCTCCAGCAGATCCCGGGAACAACATTGGAGATCTCTGTCCAGAAGAGCGCAGTCCTGGGAACAGCTAAGATACTGCGCAGGACCCTCAAGCTCCCAGGCCTCTGGTAGAGGACCCGAGCTTGAAGGATAAACCGCCCGCAGGGGCGTGCTGGGTGTTTTTTAAAAAAAAAAAAAAATACTTGGTGTATTCAATTAAAACCAAGCATGGCAAATATCAGTCAACATAAAAATGGCTCACTGTAACCCACAAAAGTACATTTTTTCTTTACAGTCTTTAGTGCAGAGTGAAAATAAAACATTTGCTCTCATCTAATTTCTTTTTTCGACCCTTCATCCCAGTTCCTGCAGTTTGTTGCCCTTGTTTAATATCTGTGTCTCACTTTTTCTGCCAGGAATCCCACATTGCCTCTCTTCTTAACCAGGTCGAATTTTCTAGAGAGAACCTTCATAATTTCTTCCTCCTAATTGCAGCACTTTTTTTGTATAATTTCACCTGCTTTCTCAAAAAAAAAAAGGGGGGGGGGGTAAGGACGCAGCAACCTCCAACAAGCTGTATTCTCTACATTATGGAGAAAAATATCCACCAGTCAGTCATCTCCTTTTATTTCTGCTGGATTTAAACTAATATGGTCTGCTAAAAAATGTAAACAAATTACAGCTCCCTCGGGGCTAAACTTCTTATCTATCATCATTTCCTTTGCACACACGGCCATTGTCTCATATCTTGTCTCGGAATACAGCGCCCTCCAGTGGTTACCACTGATCATAACAAATCCAAGGACTCACTTGTGTCCCACTTTTTCTACATTTTTCTCGCTAACAAGCCAAAACCTGTAGAAATCTCTGTATAGAGGTGATATATTTATATATTGTGGTCCTTATTTTTGTTTAAATAAATAAACGAATTTTTAAAAATATATTTTTAAAAATGGCTCCCTTTTCTGGGTGATATTAGTGTCAGCTATCAGGCTACCGAAGCGTTTATTTAATCTTGATAAACCTTGTAATTATTTTCTATTCGAAATAAAAACACAAGCTTTGTGTTATCAAATTAAAATTCTGTCAAGTCATTCACAGACAGCGAACTAAAATCGGAAGAGCCACAGAGATCCTTCAAAATAAAGCAATCTCACAAGAAAACAGTCGACCTTTCATTAAAGATTCTCTCCAGCCGTTCTTATTTTGAAAGCAGTGAAAGCGGAAGTGCTTGGGCTATTTAAAGGCCTGACATCATTCCTTTCGTTTAGAACCTCGCAGGAGCGTATGTTGAGAAAGCTCTGTGGCTTAGCTAGCTAAGGAAAAATAGAAAAATAAAATTTCTGAGTTTGAGTTATGGACAAGAATCCTACGCGATACAATGTACAACTGTATATTTATGATTTGTCCAGAGGAATGGCTCGGAGCCTTAGTCCTATAATGTTGGGTAAGTAGTCTGCAGACAAATACTGATGCAGTCTGGCCTTGGGGGACAAATAAGTGATGATAACCGGCTGGAGAAGCCTTCTTTGACGGTCGTCTAAAGTAGATGTTGCTGTTCTCTGGTTAAAATATCAAGGTCAAGGGACTTTTATAAATATTGTTTGGTTTAAAATAAATGGCGAACTTAATCGACTTGCACCCGTACATCATTAGAAATGGCTCATCTCTTGTTTTACCGGCTTCTTGCATTAGCGACCATCTCCTGCCTTGCATGCATTAATCCCCCCCCCCCCCCCCCCCCCCCTTTTCTATTGCAGGAAAGCAGCTGGATGGGATATGGTAAGTGTAACCTCCTTATCACGAAAACACAGCTTTTACTGTAGATACATCAGGTGTAGGCCACTGACCTAATTCTGGTCCCAGGGAAGACGGCAGTGGCATTAAAAATGGTCAAAACACCTCCTGGTGGTCTGCCTGTTTGTATTTATTAATGAAGGTGTCTGGGGATGTATGTGAACTGACCAAGTGAGCTATAATTAAAAAGATTAGGCAGATACATATGATATTTTAACACTAAATAAACAGCTAGTTGCTCACTCATCCACTCGTCTGTCTATGGATGGATTTTTAGTCCTTATAATTGTTGTATTCGGTAGTTTGTAAAATGCACCGTGACTGTATTGTGTTATTTGGTGTGCCAAAGTGGATTAAGCGTCATGAATGGTGCTAATGTAATTTTAAATATGCTGTTATGCCACTGAGATGCTCTGACCTGGATTTACCAATGTAATAATTTTGCAGGCACACAGCTATAGTGGCATATGGTGATGAGTTCTTCTTTGGAGGGGAGGGGATCTCCAGCTGTTCTCCGGTAAGGATGTGACGTCCATTTCACTTATATCACCAAACACCTCAGCCTTCTCCCAGACTGCTGCACACATGTGGAAAATAATTTTTGAAGGTGTTTTAGACGTGTGTCGGCTGCCTCTCATTTCTGCAGTACCTTTCATTTTTGCAGGACTTACAAAGTATACCCTGAGTTTTGAAATGGTTGTTGTCCCGAAACAAACATTTGTATGTTTGTCCCTTGGGGCCACAAATGAATCGACCAGATGTTTGTGATGTCATGATAGCGAGCAGGGGGAAACAAAGAAACAAACAAAAGCTGTGCAAAGAAGGCAAATCACAACGCCTGAGACCAGTGTGACACTTGTCAAGAAAGAAAAAGTACAATTGGGTAGGTGATATTCTACAAAAGAACTCAAGAAATGAAGTTCTATCCATTTTCTTTATTTATTCGTGGGGTGATGGGTTGAGGAACCTATACCAGCTGCTGTTGGGTGAGAAGCAGGTCACCAGCCTGCACAACGCTAACACAGAGAGACGCTTCATACCTACATAGAATTTAACTATATCTATATGTACTACTCATACATATGAAAGTAGTACATACCATTTTTATATATATATATATATACACACACACACACACTATCAGTAAAGAAATGTTCAAATTTGCCTAATAATTTAGATCATAGTATATCGTATAATATACATTTCATACATCTATGGTCTGCTACCACAGCTTTATTATCATGACAAAAGTCCACCTATTAAAAATAATAAATTAGTTAAAAATAATATAAATGGGTTGTTTTAATGTTTTGGCTGATTGCATATTCTTACCTGTAAGTTGAAGTATTTTACTTTTTTCCAAGACCAAATAAATGATGTGAATTCAATCATCTTTTCCTGATTTTTTTTTTTTTTTTTTAATTTATTTTTTTCCCCCAAAAAAAACAAAAAACAAAACCTCAGTCATAACAATTAGCTTATTAGCTTAGCATTTTTCCCACCTTGGAGGTAAGGTGGCTTGCTAACTAACTTAAGCGTGTATCACAAATACAGAAAATTGACTCAAGAAGACCTCTTTTATTTTTTTATTTATCTAACATTTCTTTATGCAGGTAATCCCATTTTATGCTTACTAGCGAGAGTTGTTTTAGACATGCATAATAAAATTAAAACAATAGAAGCTAATAGTGCAGCAGCTTCCTCAGACCATCACTGATTTACTCTTTAATCATGTTTCTGTTTTATGACACATTTTCTTTGTTTTTGGCAGGGTGGGACTATGCTGGGGCCTCCTGACACAGTGGTGGAGCTCGGTGAGACTGAAGTCTCTGAGGAGATCTTCATGGATTACCTCTCTTCCCTGGGAGAAAGCACATACAGGTCAGTTTCTTTCCCGCATACAGAAAAGCTCCAAGCTCCTTACATAAGTAATGTATAATCAGGAGATAGTCAGGTTTATTATTTGAACTTTGCATGTTACTGAGTTTTTTTGTTGTTGTTGTTGTTCAGAGGTGACAGGTATCGTCTGTTTGAGCACAACTGCAACACTTTCACCAACGAGGTGGCTCAGTTCCTGACTGGCAGGCCTATCCCGTCCTACATCACCGACCTTCCATCTGAAGTCCTCTCTACGTGAGTGAAACTCGGGCTGTCAGCTTACATTCGCTTCATTTGAGTCTGTGGTATTAATAATGTCCCTGCTCACCACTGCTCACCCCATGACTGTGAATGTGTCCCATTGAAATCTGAACAAGGCGGCAAGTCTTTGAACGCCACATTAGTCGTCTAGACCTCCAATTGCAGTGAAGTTATGTACTATTAGTCATGATCGCAGCTAAATTATGAAATGTTGTTTATTATTAAGCATTAATTATAAACTACAGTGTAGCTTTGATATGTTGCCATACAGTCTTGGATGAAGAGGAAGAGATTTTAAATTTGCCCACTAAATGTTAATATAGTGCAGCCTGCAGTGGAGTTGTTTGTACTTTGCCCTGGTTGAACTTTTTGTGGTATTTAATTATTATGAAAGCTCAGTTTGAGCCTTTTTTAGCCAACAACAAGGGCAGTCATAGCAGAGGCACAAGCTTTTACCACAAATTCAGTGTGACTGCATGAAAAGGGAACAGGCAGCACTACCTTAGGCTGTTGCTATTGCTCCTATACTTTAAACATCCCTGCAGAGATTTGCTTCACATCTGCTGATGCATAAAAGTAAATATGTTGGAGGGAGTTATTGGGTTAAAAATGGGGCAGTCATTGTGCTTATGTGTTTTTAAAATGTCAAATGAAATCTCTCCATCTTTAGACCATTTGGACAAATACTGCGGCCCATCCTGGACTCTATTCACATCGCCCCTCCGGGAGGAAACGTCATCAACGGGGGACGAAACATGTAACCTGAGAGAGTGCAGAGTAATCTCGAGGTATTCCAGTGTAGTCAGTCAGTGTGAAGTCTCAATCGTTCTTTTTTTCTTTCTTCATATACATCACTAATATATAATATAATGAATGACTTGGGATTGGGGGGGTATTATTTGACACTTTAGCTTTTCAGGAGTGAAAAGCCGTCGAGTATGTTGAGTCATGTTTTGTATAGAAGAGGTTTGAAGCACTGAAACATTGTTTTGACTTTAAAAAAACAGACTTTGTAGTATTAAGAACAGCTCATGTGGTAGCTGTAACTAATCCACCTACGATATAACTTAGTTTTGTACTGAGGTACAAAATGCTCTTTTATCTTAAAGCTGAAATTCATTTGGTCACATGTTTGATCACAATTTTCTCGCTCCGTTTGCACGACTAATATTTTTAATAACACTCACCTCTGAGGATCTTCTGCTGCTGACTACAGTGGATTGAAATCTCAGCATATCAATTTCCAGTGGATAAAGACTGACATGAACACAATGGCTGATTAATGGAGAGGTTTTTTTTTTGTTTTTTTTTCCATTTTGGTCAATCATGTTTTGATTTTGCACTTTTATGTTGTTAATTTTCCATCTTCTGTTCTTTTGTACCTGTAATCTTTGTCTTTGTTTGTATTTAGGTCAACTAATGTGGATGCCTACTTACATGATCGCTCCATTTGTCACAGAGTGCGATGTAACATACAGCAGGTGATTGATTGTCTATACCACGCCAAGGTTGTAAGACTAGAGTGTATAGACTGTATATAAAATATGATTGTAGCCGTGGTGGTGGATTGGCTTGAGAGGTCACCAGTAGAAGCCTCCAATTGAGCGTTTTGGCCACACCCTTTTTTGTACCCAGACTTGTTAACAGTTAAATTCTGTGTTTTTTTTATTTTTTTTTTTTTTAAAAAGACCGTAAATGAGACTATAAACTCCTCAGACAGTGTTTACTGTGATAATAGATGATGTGATCAGTACTATAATTCTACACAGTCAGGCTTCTTTTACCTGACTATGGCTACGTTCACACTGCAGGTCTTAATGCTCAATTCCGATTTTTTGATCAAAGCCAATTTTTTTTTTTTTTTTTTTTTTTTCTGCTTGTTCACACTACAACTAAAATGCGACAGCAAACGCGCTCTACTGTGAACCCTCAAAGCGGCCCACATGCGCAAAAGAAGACGTCACACACAACTCGCTCTGTTAGACCAGAGCAACAGTATTGTTTGACTGATGGCCCTTAATATAAAGACTTCGGACTTTACGTTTCCCAATTTTTGCTTTAAGTTATTTTGTTATTTACATAATAATGTAATAACCTAATAATGATCCTTATTGCTGTTTTAGAGAGCGGTGCTCAAAGATAGTTGCAGATTTTGTCAGAATCTGCAGATTATACAGTACAAATAAAATGTTCACGTTGTCTTCCCAACAGTTTCACTAACATCTACACTGGATGGCCAGGAAGCGTTCACGATGTGTTCTCGGGCGCTACTCCGGAGCTGATAATTGGCGTCTGTCTTGTGTCAGTGACGTAAAAGACGGATTTAATTCGACCTGACCGTTCAAACAGCAGTCGCTTTCTAAAACATCGGATATGTATCGGATTCAGTACTACATACGAAAGTGAGGTCGGATTTGAAAATATCGGATTTGTGCCGTTCACACTGTCATACCATGATCGGATATGGGTCACATAGGGTCAAAAAAATCGGATTTGATGCGCTTTTGCCTGCAGTGTGAACGTAGCCTATGAGTCGCCTCCTGCTGGCGATTAGAAAAGAAATGCAGTTCTGCTTCAGTCGTCAGATCTGGAGGCTACATCTGTTTTTATATACAGTCTATGGAGTTGACTACTGCTTAAACTTGTTCTTATGTGTGCACATCTACAGCAGGACTGTAAATTCTCTGTATATGCAAGTAATCCCTGGCTTTCAATAGTTAATTGCAGAGATGATTACAGGCAGCAGAGTTCCACAGTGCTGTAAACTAACTTTCCACACAGTCTCTCTCTGTCTTCTTAAAAACAAAGAACAAAGCAGTGCGTTTGGCTGTTTCCGATTAGGCCGAAACATTTTGAGAAATAACCTTGTTTTGGTGTCGAGTCTACTGAAAGCGATGCGCGTCTCAGTCCCGCTTTGACAGAAAGTTGTCATAGGTGCTTCGTGGTCTGAATTAACTCTAGAAATAGATGCTGATCATAGATACATTTTCTTATATAGATATATTTTTACAACTGCCTGTGATCCAGATGCCATGACAGTAATTCCAAACGATAGCACATCCACATTTGCAGGCAAAGTTGACCTGTACTCTTAATAACTTCCCGCTCGAGTCCTTTAACAACCACCAGAGTGTGTTTAAAAATACAATACACCTCTGTGCCTTCATTCCCCTCTGCTTGGCTGTAGTTACACTGTTGGCAGGTGACGTGGTTTCCATATAGCATGCAAGGTAATGCGCCGTGCAGGCTGCGTTATAAGCATCTGATCCTACGTGAAGAGAAAGGAACTAAAAGTAGTAAGAAGCAACACTCATTAGAACATTTACCGTAAACTATCAGAAATATTCAGATTTAATATCAGTAAGTGCACACACAGCTAACTTCAATATAATGCATTTAGTAGGTGTCAATCTGTTAAGCCGATGTTAAACACGTAACCCACATTTGAACTTACTAACTTTTCTCTGCTTAAACAGAGTGATGGGTGAAAGAAGCACAGAAAAAACAAATTCTCACCGAGTGATTAAACCAGCATTAACTCTCCTCACGTGTTCCTGTGATAAACAAACCCTGCACACACTATCTCCATCACTTTGGCACGGCACCTGTGGCTCGACTCTTTCTTTGTTGCACGCGCACAAGCTAACTGGACCTGCAAGCTTTTTAAAACTTTCTTTTAGAGTTTAAGCTGACCTTTGCAAAGCTTTAACCGTACACGTTTGGAATATTTCTCTTCAGCGAACTTTTGAAAAACTCAGGTGATTCTGAGTTCTGTAAATCTGCCTTCTACTAATCAACTAACTCATATAATAACCCGACCGCTGAAATGTTTTTAAAAGTCACCCTTCGTTGCTCTGATTTTTGTTGTTGCTGGCTGCTACCTGTAATGTGAACTTGCAACAGATGTTTATGGATATTATTTCCTGATTTAACTAATAACTATGATAGATATATTTATGCATATTGTTTGTATTGTTTGTGTGATTGTTTTTTGTAATTCTACCTATACATAAAGCCATTGACTGCAAATACTAGTTGTATTTTCTTTTTAATTATTTTACCCCATAAATGTAGCATTTTGCCTTTTTTTTTATACTTTTTCATAGGCATACATAGATCCATAGGACCTTTCTCTCCCACAGCTGCACTGCCGCTGATGTTCATTTCAGCTTTGACCTTTGGCCTCTGGGGGCTTCTTAATGTAAGCCTGGTCTTTACCCTATTCAGTTTGATGCTTTCTGTTTCAACAGGAATAAAACCCAGAGTGAGAGCACGTGATACCACTGTGTACATCTGTGAGGAAAGTGCTTTAAAAAAAACACGATTAACGCTGTAAAACTGAATGTGTGTGAATGGAGGAGCCAGAGTGGCAAAATCAGACAGCATCAGACTCTGACTACACACATGCAGAGACACAGATGGGAGAAGATAACAAAGAGTTTATGAATATACAGATGTTCAGCAGCTGTGTTCGCTCGTGTGTTTGTGTTTTACGTACAGTTCTCTAACAGGATGCAGGTACTGGACCATGTCGTCAGCAATCTTCAGCACATTATGCTTGAGATGATGATGATGATGATGATGATGGCTATCAGACAAGCTGCAATGCTACCATCTATTCAGTAGGTGGTAGAATTTGCCCTCTTTTACATATAAAAATTGAATGTGTGCGGCGATAATATACATTCACGTGAATGCTGGGAGACTGCAGTGTGCGAACAGGAGCTTACTGGGTTTGAAGGAGTAGCAGAAAGAACAGTTGCTGTTGTTGCCGCTGTGCATAAAACTGTAATACTGACACTTAGGCCGGCATTTCAAAGACTAATAATGATAAACAGCACAGAAACATGAAAGTGTGGAGTGATTAAACCTTTGGTAATCTCTTTGCATGAACTATGCAAAGTAGAGTGAACATGTGCAGAAACTACATTCATTTAAGTTTCTATTAAGACGTGCTACACAGACTGTTCAGTTTGCTTCACAGCAAAGATGTACTATATCGCCTAAAGTATTCACTCACCCATCCAAATCATTAAATTCAGGTGTTCCAATTACTTTAATGGCCACAGGTGTATAAAATCAGGCATGCAGACTGCTTCTACAAACATTTTGTGAAAGAATGGGTCGCTTTCAGGAGATCATTGAAATCCAGGATGATACCAGGATAGGTCCACCTGTGCAACAAGTCCAGTCGGGAAATTTCCTCACTACCTATCATTGTTTGCAAAGCACGCTACCACTGGACAGTAGAGCAGGGGACATGCGTTCACTGGAGGGATGACGCTCTGGTGGTTGCCAGGAGAACAGTACTTGACTGCATCGTACCAAGTGTAAAGTTTGGTGGAGGGAGGTTTGTGGTCTCGGGTTGTTTTTCAAGAGTTGGGCTCAGGCCCTTAGTTCCAGTGAAAGGAACTCTTAATGCTTCAGCATACCATTTTGGACAATTTCATGCTCCCAACTTTGTGGGAACAGTTTGGGAACCTGACTGCACATGCGAGCCAGGCTTCTAGTCCAACGTCATTGTCTGACATCAAAATGTGCTTCTGTAAGAAATTTCTAAACCTTGTGGAAAGCCTTCCCAGAAGAGCTGAGCTGGCATATTAAACCCTAGGGAATAAGAATGGGATGTGACTCAAGTTCATATACGTGTGACGGTACAGCAGCAAATACTAATATAGTGTATAATGGCATGAACAAACACTAACAGTTCCTCTGGAGATAATTTCCTAATGAAGCATTTGGTCTTTACTTGCACTTTGCTCGCCTGAGTCTTTGGAATTATGATTCACTGGAAGTGATTTAAGTTCACTGATCAGCAAAGCCTCACAGCACAGTTACACAAAGGTAAACTACAAAGAAGATAACAGCAGATTGATTTTTAGACTCAAAAAGAAGTTTTTCTTTCATTTGGCCTGAAGCATCCAACAGTTTCAAGCACCTTTATCAATAAAAGTCTAATTACACCTGTCACTACCTCCAAGTGTCTCATCTGTCCCTGGCTCTCTGTGCCTGCCTGCCTGTACATGTGAGATGGCAGCATAGTGATGGGAGCAACCATGAGTGGAACTTGCTGTTGAGACAGAGGAGGAGCTGATCTCAAGCAGGTGTAGCTGCACTCGGACAGCCACCCACAAGATTTAGAGGAAATATTTTTGTAGAAACCGTAATCATGAGTTAAAAGAATCAAGTGTATTTGTTTAGATTAAACAACCCGAGTTTCAGTTATTTTAAAACCATCTATGCCAGTGCTTATCAAAGTCATTCAGTGATGGTTCAGTTTGTGTTGTAAAATTGGGGCGACCGTGATTCAGGAGGTTGGGAAGCTCGTCTGTAACCGGAAGGTTGTCGGTCCGATCCCCCAACAAGACACTTTACCCTACCGCCTACTAGTGTGGCTGTGGTTTGCCTGCACCAGTGTGTGAACGTGAGAGTGGAACTGTAAAGCGCTTTGGGTGCCTAGAAAAGCGCTATATAAATGCAATCCATTATTAAAATGTTTGAGTTCATCTAAATATTTCATTGGATTCCTGTCCATTTCTCTTCACCCACAATCATCATCATGGTGGGATCAACTTCCATGGAGACCCCCAGCAGTTACTGGACCCCCACTGACCTAACAGTACTGCGAGATATCGCTATACACTTATTTCCTAAAGCTCCCAGGTGTGATGCTGATGATTTTTGGACATATTATATATTTAATAAATGAACTGACTTTTAAAGTAAATTGCTTTCTTGCAATTCATTGCAGTTATGCAAGCATCTGCCAAGTGAATTAGCGTTGGGGTGAGCATGGCAATTAAACTACTAATTGCCGTAAAAGGCCCTCAACCACTAACAAATGACTGATGTCCTACTGAGC